AGTATTTTGTTGGGTAAACCTTTGTTTTGATAACGTTCTTGGCATGCTATAGACTAAATTCTTAATTAAGTCAACATCCTTCGACAGATTTTTCCATCATTCTTTTAATTTTTGACAAATCTCATCTTCTGTTTTAACTTTCGTCAGTCTTGTCCATTATGACCCAGTTGGCTTAATTTCAAGGCTCTGACTAGGCTTCTGGAAGAGTTCCAGTTTACCATCGTCGCGATTCCTTCTAGATATTCTTTAAGGCAACATGCTAATGATCGTTATCGTTAGTAAATAAATTTTTGACTTGTACAATTTATATATGTACACCTGTATTAATAAAGGAATTCTAGTACTCACTTGTATTGGCAAAAATACAAAAATCGACTTCTATGGGTTCGTCCATTTTTTGCCTCGTACTGTGTCTGTATATATATATCTATATCCATATATATATATATATATATATATATATATATATATATATATATATATATATATATATATATATATTTCTGGATTTTTTTGTGTGTGTGTTTGCAGAGATACACATATATGTTTCCTTATTTTACTTTGTTAATTGAATGTTGAGTAAATGTATTCTGTTTCTTTTTCTTGCCAAGCATGATAGCCATAAAATTACAAATTGTTATTTTACAATGCTTAGCATACCTTGACACAAGGCCCGCAAAAATGTAGCATCTAGCGAAAATCGAACTCACTACGAAATAGTAATGGTCAATTGAAGTAGCCAGCTCGGCATTTCTTCACAATTACATTTGGAAACATCATGTCGCTCAAATAAATTTTAGTAAGAGTCGCATAAATTTGACAAGACACAATGATGGAAACATCGTTAATAATCAACAGGTCCCGCTTGATAATATTTGTATTCTGATTAGGTATGCATTTCTGTTTTCTATAAAGACTAAGTATTTAAATATAAAAATATTACAAAAGAGATATCATTCAATGAGGCAAGATGCAAAGAGGCTTTCAGACCAATAATAGTACGAATATTGCATAATCTATCTTTGAATGGGATTTGCAGTGCTTGAACCAGTTCTAGTAAAATTATATATATATATATATATATATATATATATATATATATATATATATATATATATATATATATATATATATAACCAGGAACACAAACATTCAAGCTAAAACACTATCTAGGTTTCGGTCTACATCTGAAATTTTGGGGAATTTTGTATCAAGCGCTATTTTGATTGCACATTTTAAGCGCGGGCTTTTTACAGCCTCCATTTACAATATGCTATCTTATATTTTTATATTGTATTTTAGGTTTTAAATATATATATATATATATATATATATATATATATATATATATATATATATATATATATATATATATATATATATATATATATATATATATATGCATATATATATATATATATATATATATATATATATATATATATATATATATATATATAGAGAGAGAGAGAGAGAGAGAGAGAGAGAGATATTTAAGCTTTGTTATATTTATGGGTAAAAGTGCTCAGTATCATGGATAGAACGTATGAAAATATAAAACTGTAGACAGAGGTCAACACCTAGCGACGACAGACTGTTTTATGTTTGAATGCCATCTTCAAAACTATGTGTATAATCCAATGACTGTTATATTTATATTGTGCAAGACTTCATGTTTGCAAAACCACAGATGCCAACAGACTCAACTCCCATAACTAAATACAGACTAATGGGTATCCTGAAAGGTCGCAGTCCAACTAAGAAGGATGACTATTACCCGGAAACAACGCTTGTGTTTAGGATCGAAAAGAGATATTTGAAATTTCTGGTACACACAAGAGGAAAAAAAGGGATACATCGACGTAGTGTGATGGTTAGCAATATTGTCTCACGAGAACAATTACGAATTAGTAATGTGTTCAGTCACGACTGGGTGCTCTATACAATTCGGCCTTGTGCCACATCTAAGGTACGCGTAGAATAGTACAATATATGGAAAGAAATATTGGAAAATTTTACTCTCTGAGGATATATTGAACTGTCAATTAAGGAAACAATGAGCTATGGACCTTAAGATCTTGTGTAAATGAATGACAAAACAGGGAACGTTTATAGACCAGTATTAATAAGAGCTAAAAATGTAGGAAGATGTGGAGTGGCATAATCGCTTATGGCCCATAAACGAGAAGATTTTCAAATTTTTTGGCACATGTTCTATCAAGTCATTTTGTGAAAAAAATTTCCGATCGTTGTTAATTAAATTATTGATTGCGGGATAATGAACGGATTGAGAATTTTCAGTACTCACTCTGTCTCTGTCTCTCTCTCTCTGTCTCTCACTCTTTATATATATATATATATATATATATATATATATATATATATATATATATGCTATGATTATTTGGTAAGAGAGGGCAGTATCATGGCGAGAACTTTTTGTAGATATAAACAAAATGGTCAGAAATCAACAGGCGGTTTCATGCCTTCTGCGATCATC